AACCAATCAAACAAGTTCCTTGTCAACTGACTCAAACGCTCAGAGAAAAAGCAAATGAGATGAGGGATTTCATCACAAAGACTTCAAAAGAGGAGAGTAGCACGAAGAGATTCCATGTCTCAAAGTGATGACAACTCTGACTACTCTGTGAAAATGCGGAAGAAGTAAGAAGTTTTATAAAGACAGGGCCATTTTTGGAAAAGAATATGAAACTGAAACTCTGTCTTAGTGCACATAGTAATTTTTTTTTTGTATTGCACAGAAATTCAAGAGAAGCAATTCTGTTGTTCCTTCTTTCCTCATGTCCAGGACTGACAGTGCAATGCTTCAAATACAAAACACATAAAATCAAATGCTTGTTAACTATTATATTAGGAAAGGAAAAATCAAAATAAGATCGTTTTTAACTGAGAGGCACAAGCACACAATACAAAGGAACGCTTGTAGTCCGTCACTCATCTTTGAAGTCACGGGATTTAACTCTATAGACAATTACCTCAGATATTTAAATCTTTATTTTGTGTTTCCTATGAACATGCTAAGGGACTTACAAACAGAGAGGTAAGCAAGGAAAGAGAGGGAAAAAATTAGTCAATTTACCAAGGCTTTATTCTCATCTACAGGGAAGAGGCCATTTTATGGTATGTTATTTGGGCTCATTAGCATTCGTATTGTGTTTGCAAACACAAAGAATCATCATTTCTGTGCTTAGGGAAAGTATCTAATTCTACCTACACATTCTCTCACAAATTAGATGTTTCGGGGTCCTAAAGGTTGATTAAGCTGAACTGGATAACAAATTAAGTGAGTAAGGATTTTCTGTAGGTCACAGAAGAAAAGAAAATACCGCATATAATAATAAGTAAGGACATCACAAGAAACAAATGATCAGAATGACCAGAATCTTATGATCACTGTGCACTACGGGAATGCAATGACCCAATGGGAGCCTCAAATCATTAAATATTCTACTGAGCAGACATGCTTTCTGCTTCTTCCATCTCAAAGGAGTTATTTTGAAGTTGGAATTAAAAAGGACCAACTCCCTAGGGTTTCTTACTCACCCCAGCAAGTAAGTAATGGCAAAAATACACTAACAGAACAAGACAAAATGAAAAAAGAAACCAAGAATTGCAACAAAATTGTATAAAACTAGAAGGCAGTTACAAGTACAAGAAACTAAACAGAAGGGCAAAAATGGGCTAGAAAGATGGTTCAGTGGTTTAAGCACTTGTTGATCTTGCAAAGGACCTAAGTTTCATTCCAGTTCCAGGGGATCCTTTGCCATCTTCTGACCTACACTAGCAATATATATACATATATATATATACATACATATATATATATTACACACACATGAAGACAAAGCATCCACAAATATACATACAAATGTACATTTTTAAAAAATAAATTTGATAATCTGATTTGACTACAAGAAAAATGCTAAAATGCTAATTTTACAAACACACTAGCAAAGGTCATCTAAAAAACTCAGCACCCAAAAGTCCTTAGGACCAGGAAGAAGATGACTGCTTATCCACGTCAGCATGCTTCCTGGGTGCTGCCTCCATGTTAATTGGAGCAGGTCCATATATAATGAAGGATGGAAACAAATGAATATGACTCTTTTTTTTTTCAAAAGTCCAAGCTAGCAAAATTCAAGTGTAACTGTTTGTTTTCATGTTTCGTTTCTAGCAATCAACTGTGTAACATCTAAATATGTTTTACAACTGAAAAGCAGGACCATCCTGCTATGTGATAAATTACATCTGTTTAAATGTAGCCCTAACTCCTAAGATGGTGTTATGTGGTGACAGGGCCACTGGGAATTAATCAGTTCTATGTGGAGTAACAATATAAGATAGTCTGTTATGGGTAAAATTCACCAGGGCTTGCACATAGGTACGCTCTAATACCCTACCTTCCTTTCTGTCTACCATGTGACAAAACAAAAAAGCCCCACTTCTTAGACCAGAAAGACAGAATGTAGAACATAATCAAATACAACTGCCATTTAAGCAAGCAATTCTATGGCATTTTGTCCTGGCAACCTTAGCTAATAAAACAGATAAGCCTACGGGCAGTGATCATGCATGCTTTAAGTCCCAGCACTGGGGAGGCAGAAACAGGCTGATCTACAAAGTGAGCTCCAGGACAGCAAGGGCTACTCAGAGAAACCCTGTCTCAAACAAACAAGCAAAATAAACAGATAAGCCTTTGAAATTGCTAAAGGGCTGGTGCCAAGAAGCCCCTAGTGTACTTTGTTTTACTGACTGGTAAGCAACATTGAAATTGCATAAATATATTAGACAGTGAAAAACAAGTTAATTCTAAAACGCCATTGCTAGTCTTCAGATTTAAATGGAATCACAAGGGGAAAAGAGGGGAGGGGAGGGGAGGGGCGGGAAGGGGAAAACTACTAGATAGGATGCAAATCTTCAGTTTGCCTGGAGAAGTGCACCTTCCTGATCTATCCACCCATTTCTCGAATACAGATGCTGGCCAGTACAATCAAAATTCCTGGAATTGTGATTCTTAAAGCTTTGGGCAGATTCAAGCTCCAACAAGGTATCAGAGATAAAAGGGGAATGGGGAAATCAGATAATTTGTCTTCCTTATTCCTCTGCTCATTTTCTTAAAGGCTGTTACAAGCCATCTTTAGTTCTCAACAAAAATCCAGTGCTTCTCTCCAGATGGGGTTCCAGTTATCAATCCTCTCATCAAGTGGCAGAGAAGGGGTTAAAGCTTTAACACTTCCAACTCAAGGATCCTTTCAACTCTCCAGTTCCTTCCCTGCATGCTCCACTATGACAATAGCCTTTTTGAAAATAATACCTATTTAAACTGTCCTATTTGAGTGTGCCATTTGCTTCCCCCTTGGGACCTGGATCAATACACACCTTTATTCGTTCAGCACTCTCAGGTTAGAATGCCTTTCTTTCGGCTAGCTCTCTGATAGATTTCCAAATATGTTTCCAAGTATGCTTGAATGTCACTACCACTTGTAAGTTTCTGTGTTGCCATCACACAATTAATATATTGTTTATTCATTTTTTGGTCTAATCGCATTTTCTATAGCATTTTCTACTTAAAGTATATATACAAAAAAGATACTTAGTAACTATGACAATCTGTTAGCTTATTTTGTTTTTTCTTCTTTCTTTATTCTCTTGTTTATTTTTAATAATGGTGTTAAAATCAAACATTTTTAAAAGTATACAAAATAAAGTACACTGAAGTATGAAGGGCATAAATAATATAAATGTAATTATACTTCAGATAAGTTGTCTTTCTTGTATCTTTAAAGCCATGACAGTTTAAATAATTCTATCATTTTATCTTTAAATGTTGTCATTCATCTAACTCTAAGAGTCTTATTTATAATATGATATAAGTAGTTCAATGTCTTCTTTTCATAGGTTTAGTTTGAAGTGTTTTGTAAAGTGAACAAAGTTACAGATAATACTTATTTTTTAATGGATACAAGATAATTCATAAGAGATATTCACAAATAAAAAAGATCAATCCCTTTGTGGGCTGCAATAAATTTTCATGTTCTGCATAAGACATGGCTTTTCATTACGAAGTAAGACTACTCAAAGATAACATCAAGGTAAAGGGCCAAAAAGCTCCTATAAGTTGATGTTTCACAGAGAATTTAACAACTTCACTCAAAAAGTACACCAAATTCCACAAATGGATGACTAAATATGTCACGGTTTAGAATTACACAAATACCTAAGTATACCCTTCACTCTTGAAATGTCTAGACACTAGCAATAATATCTTGTATCAGAGATTCTAGTTAATTACCTTGACCATAAATTTTAGAAATTCGTATTGAAAGAGCAGTTATCTAGCATAATTTAATGTCCTCTTCTGTAAAACAATGATTTTTAAAAAGTCAGATGAGAATGTAAAAAGTATTTTAAACCATCAGATAATAATACATGTTTAAAAAATTGAAACATTGTTCAATTTACTCATGATCAACCAATGTTGTCGTGTATTGCAGTGGAATATGATTTTTGAATTTGAGTAAATAGGAAAATGTTCTTTGGAGACATTTTTGTATTTTAAGCATTGAAATGACATAAGTTAAGTTGGTTAGATTATACTAAAAAACATCATTCACATGTAAAACAATGTTTTTTAAAAAGTCAGATGAGAATGTAAAAAGTATTTTAAACCATTAGATAATAATACATGTTTAAAAACTTGAAACATTATTTAATTTACTCATGATCAACCAATGTTTGTAAAGAAACATAATACTAATATTAAAGCAAAAAAAAACAATGAAACACTTGAATCAGAGTAAAGAGGCAGAGGTAGCTGTAACGTCCCTTCAACATATCAAAAATCATTCATCCCTGGTATAGGCAAGGTAATCATTATCAAAATACTTAGGAACAGATTTTATAATACTTGCATAAAACTGAGGCATCTTAGAGAGGAAAACTAAATCTGAATACAAACTTCATGCATATTTTATCTCTGCCTTAGGTAAGTATTGCAATTTTTAACAAGTTTTACATGAAACAAAATTTCATGGTATGGAATTTTCTACTTGTGTCATCATGTCGCCAATCAAAAGGCTCCCGATTCTGAAGCATTTAGATTTGAATGTTCAGACATAGAATCTTCACTCATATTTAATTATTTTACAGATTGCGCAGGAACCACATTTTGAAATTTATTTATTTAATACTTAATTTTAACAGCAAGGAAGGTGTGAGGACTCATACAACTATGTAAATAAAATAAAAAAATAATGTAATGATTTTTGAAAGAAAATAAATCCACTACCTGAAGAAATAACAGTTTTCAAAAGAGGCAAACCCGAGCAACTAAGAAAGACTCAGCTATGAGATACATTCCTTCAAAACTGGGCTTCCAGGAGTACTGCAGTGTGCTCTTCAGACAATGAGTTTGGGGCCAGCTTGTGATACATGCCTTATCACAAAAGAGAAACAGAGAGAACGGAAGGGTGCTCATACCTTCAATTTGGATCCATGAGGTATCGGGGATTTATTCTGCTTGGGTGGGATATACAGCTCCCATTTTCCATATTCCAGTTTTTTATATGGGTGAGAAAATGGATTCCAACCATCTAAATAATAAAGATCATGTAATCAGTAACTGGATAGGGCTAAGAGTTTAGTAAAACATAATATACTGCTTATCTGTAAAAATTAAATTGCTTTAAAAACCTGTTTTCTAATGTAATAATCAAAGTATTATATGAGCCACTTAGAAAAATGTAGGATTATTTAGAGTTTGAAAAAAAAGTGTTTATGAGTTAGGAAGAAGTGTAAAGAGTGAAGGTGCTTGCTACAAAGTCTAATGATGAGAAGTCATGCATGCACACATTTATGGATACAGGCATAATCCCAGATCCCCCTCCCTCATCTCCTCATGCATTCCTCCTCTTCCCCCTATTCCATCTCCTGTCTACTCCTCAGAGAGGGTAAGGCCTCTCCTGGGATTTCAACTAAGTCTGTCCCCTCACCTGCTTAAAGCAGGACCAAGGCATACACCCCCATGTCTAGGCTGAGCAAGGTATCTCTTCATAGAGAATGGGCTTCTCAAAGTCAGTTTATGAATTACAGTTAGATCTTGGTCCCACTGCCAATGGCCTCGTATATCACTCAAGCCACACCACTGCCGCCTGTATTCAGGGGTCCTAGTTCAGTCATATGACATTTCGCCACTTGAAAGTACAGTCAGTGATTTCTCACTAGGCCAGGTCAGCTGATTCTGTGGGTTTCCCCATCATGGCCTTGACTCCTTTGTTCATATTATCACTCCTCCCTCACTTCCATTCCTAAATATAACTTTTAAATGTAAATAAAAATAATAAAATGGTTCTAAAAAATATGCCTTTGGTCTCCTAAAATTAAACAGAGATTTTAACTTGTTTAAATATACTTTTAACTTTCAAAATATTAGTAAATGTAAAGTTTTTAAAACATCATTTAAAGAAACCACAAAGAAAATTAAATGAGAGGAACATTCTAGTCTATTAAATAAGATCCATGCCATATTGAAAATAAAATATTGAAATAACATACATAGTCAAATTCAGAAGAATATAAATGAGCTCAGTTAAAATATAAAGAACTGTCTCAAGTAAGAAAGGTAGATAGTTTATCTCCCATATGGATTATGGGACATTATGCTGCAGACGAAGGGAAAATCTCCACTGACCAACAGTTAAAGCTTGCATACATGGAAGTAACACATATGTAATACTCAGCCATAGGTATGACAGTAACTGGTTATGCTTACTGTAAATGAGAGAAATACATCAATAACTATTAACACACTAAATTATGAAAACATATATTAACTTCAAATCTGACAAACCTGTAGAGTGCCTAAAAGGAGAGTATTTACAACTAATCACTGGAGATCTGATTGCAAAGGCATAAAAAAAAAGCATCCAAATTTCAAAGAAGCTATAGAAAGTGTAAAATGCATGTATGTGTGAAAATTAAACAATGAGGTGTCACATAAAGATATAATAGGGATGTATCCAAGTGGATAGATATAAAACTGCAAAGCTGATTTTAAAGGGGAACAGAAAATTATCACTTATACCAAACACAAGAAATATGTTGAAAGTAACAGATAGAGACGTGTGTATGCTGTAAAACTATTAAAACTGAAATGAAAATGTGAAATAACATCTACAATGATTTTCTCTGAGGTAGGAAAAAAATTAAATGCAGCCAGGGCAGAGGAACAAATCAAACAAGACAGGCAAAATGTTTATAATATTGAAGCCAGCTGCATAAATGTAGGACTTGTCTACCTTTCCAAGATTAGAAAAGTACCACAATGAAAACTCATGTCAGGTCTCTGGGCAGAAATAACTGTCCGAATATCTTTCTTTAGCATCAGTTATAATGTGACATTATCAGGCAAAGGACATAAGATCTTAACATACTTACGATGCCATATACAGATTACCAAGCTACTTTCTGGATTGCTCAACTACCCATATCCTTAGCCACACCAGGGATTATCATTTTAATAACAAGACATGCCTGCCTTGCTCAGCCAGGGTTCACTAAAAGAATTAAGCGCTAGTACCCTAAGGAACCCCAGCATGCAATAAATAAATTCCCTTTTAATGCATCAAGAATAGAACTTGTTAAACACCATCGTTGGGAGAATTGAGAAACAGACACTCAAATAATTTCCTGTGTTCCATGGATCAGATGCACAGCCAGCACGAGCGAAATTTTCTCTCATTATTTTTCTGGCTTTAACGATAATGTTTGATATACACTGTTTTCATTTCTTTTCAAAAAATAGGCTGTAATTGGAACACTGATTATTCTCTTTAACCTTATTGTTATTTGGGACAAATTGAGTTGTATTATATTTCCTTTTAAATGTCTTCCATTAATTTCCAGTTTTATTGAAATGAAGATAATAATGTGCCTTACTTTGAGGTTTAATACAGTGGCAATCAAAGCATTTATTTATTTACCAGCCTATTTACTTTTAGCAGCTGAAGCAATTCAATTTTCTTAGAATAAATTTTGTAGAGGAGTTCAACATGAAGCTACATAAAATAAATCAAAGCAGAGGTGCTCTGCTGGACACATCCCTACCTGTCTGGGCCACTATAAACCTCCCAAGCTCCCACCTGAGCCTGGAGACAGAACTCAGCTCTTTGGTTTATGTGACATAAGTGTGTGGTGTGTGCCTCTGTGAACCTATATGTGCGAATGTGAGTGTGGATTCACATGTCTATACACACATGCATTAGCCAGAGCAGGACATCAAGTCTCTTCCTCAATTGCCTCTATCTTATTCCCTTGATCCATTATCTTCACTGAACATGAAGGTCAGCTTTTCCACTAGACTGGCTACCCTAGAAGCTTCTGGGGACTTCCAGTGCCTGCCCCAACACCTGGGTAACAGGCATGATTGGTCATGCCAGGATTTCATATGGGTGCTGAGGATTTGAACTCAAGTTCTCATGTTTGCAAAGGAAGCTTTCTTACCCACTGAACCATCTCTGAAGCCCAGAACTTAGTTCTTTCTTAACAGCTGAGAGTTGCTTGTGGACAGTTAAGGACTCAGAGGCTCCCCTCTACCCATGTCTACATGTCTATAGCTGCTGCCTATGGTCGGCTCATGTTGAAACAGTTATGTTGGTGAGCTTCTGATAATCCTAGAAGACACAGTTTCACAGCAAACTCCCTAATCCTCAGAGAACTATGGGTAACTAAGGAATGCAGAGACCTGGAGAAATAGTCTTCTCCAGTGAGCAGCACACCAAACGGTTATCTAATACGGTAATGGCAGCCAGAACACTTACAAGTAACTGCTAACAGCAAACAGGCTGGTAAATAAATAAATGCTTTGACTACCACTGTATTTAAGTCACATTGTTATCTTCCTTTTAATAACACTAGAAACAGTAACAAGTAACAGACTAGGCAGGTTGTCTCTGTATTTAACAGAATGTTGTAATAAAAACAATTGATGAAATAAGGAGGTGATACATTTGAAAGAGAGCAAAGTTTGAAGGGATGGGAGGGAAGGGGAAAATCATAAAATTAAAGGATAATCTCAAAAATAAAAGAAATACTTTTAAAAAATGAAAATCTACTGGCAGTTAGTAGAAGCTGCTGTGGGGAGGTAAGCAGGCAACAGGATAAAATAAGGAAAAGCCTGATCCACACATACAGTGGTAAGTGCTTCAGGGGAACCACCACACTACAGTTGAGTATAACTACAATAATCTACTTATATTTCAGAATGTTACACAAAGTGATTTTAAGTTTCTTTATTTAAAAATGATTAATATTTGAGAAGTCAGATATGAGTAATGAGCTTTAAACATTGCATTTTGTATACATATACCAAAACATTCAATATCACCCCATTAAAATGTACACTTTTAGGTTTTACCTATTAGTTAAAGGGCATGGTTCAACACACATTTTAGGGTGTAGATGAAAGCTCTAATGCTCAGACGATGTGGAAAGCAGGAAGCTGAAAATGAGACAAGCTGCAATCTGTACTGAAAGCATTTAACACTGTACTAGAGTTTGCATTTTATTTATATTATCCTTTTATTTTTATTTACTTTATCTTCTGACACACTCAAAATACCTTAATGTCTATGATGACAAAGTAGACTAAAAATCTACTGAATTTCAAATCATTGTCAGCTAGATGTGAAGAGATAAACTACTATTTGAGGACTGAAGATAATTACACTTTTCTTTGCTAAGAACTCTGCCTTTTTCAGACATTAGAAACTGAATGTCTATGTCTCTCCAAAGTGTCATCCCCCAGCTTTTGGAAGAGGTTTGGGTCCTGAGGGTAGAACCCTGGGAAACAGGATTAGGACCTATTTAAGCAACTTCAGAGAGCATGCTGTTACAGAGCATACATAGAGAAATCAAACTATCTTAAACCCAGAAATAGGTCCTTATCAGATCTCAAGCATGTTTAAAGCCTTCAAATCTGTAAGAAAAGCACTTCTCTTGCTTATAAACTGCCCTGGCTCTGGCACTTTGTAACAGCAGCCCAAACTAAAACACACAAATGGGGTTTGGGCCTATATTTGATCAGCCTTTCTCTTTGTCACAGACAGTAGAAGTAGCTAGAAAAGGAGCGGTTAAGTTGGCTGGCTCTCCATAGCCAAGCAAACTCTAGTGTTGTCATAAGCTCTATCAGTACTAATTGCAAATTAACCAATTTATGGTTTACCAGTATTAGAATGGATATAAATATAAGAGTTTTCTCTATACCCTATACTCTAACATGTACGTTTCATCTAATCAGACACCACCTGAACCATACATATACATGGGAGAGATCACAGGAATCAGAAAATAGATTACATAGACCTCCTCCCCATCCTATGGTCAGTTAAAAACCTGTCACAATGACATGTTTTTCTATAATGACTAGAACTAAGACAGAATGAATATATATTTATTATCAGTTCAGGATGACTAGTACCATTCAATAAGAAAAGAATATTTGTTTAAACTGGGAAAACTGAACCTCCGTATATAGAAAAACAAACCAGTCCATATCTTAAAACATACATAAAATTAGTTCAAAATATATCCCAGA